GGTGGGTGAAGTCGCCTTCCCCTTGCTCCTCTCTGGTTTCCCAGCTCCGCCCGAGCAGGAGGGAGGAGCCTGGGCCGTCCGCCCAAAACTTTGAGGCACCCCCGCCCCCGGCCCTGCCGGTGCACTGAGCATGCCCACCAGAGGCGCGCTCCCAGCCCGCAGGACTTTTAAGAGGGGGTCTTGTTTTACACCAGGCAACCTGGGCTCCGGTGGAGAAAGGGTGCCCCAAGCACCCGGGAGGTTTGCTCCTTTAAACTGATAGACCGCTTAGATAAGCTAAGCATTTAATCTGATGATCTCATTAACTTTCCCACTAACCTTCCGTGAAGGGTGCTGTTCACTGCCCATCCTCTAGAGGAGGAAGCTCAAGGTCAGAGCAGTTCAGTAGCCTCAAGCAGACTGGACTTCAGCTCTTGCTCCTTCCTCTAAGGGCTGGCCTTCCTGGGGCCTCACAACCTACCACTACCCCAAATTTGCTACCCTGAAGTTCCCCGTTTTCATCCCGTATCCTACGGCCAGTGCTTTTCTCTAAAGCAATGTGTACACAGATTGCCACACCCTGGCCCTACTAGCTCTGAGACAGTGGGAGCTCTTCCATTTGCTGGGCATTTGCAGAGAACCTGCAGTGTCTTTCTGGAGCAGGGATGAGCCTGCTGAGGCTCAGGCTGGTTGGATCTCCAGGCTGTGTGGAGACACACAAGGCGATGCCATCGTCCTGCTCCTTCTGAATGCAGAGTGCCTGCTAGCAATCCTCCTGGGAGCCAGAGTGCAGCCAGGGGCACATGAGTGCTCCCAGATGTGTGCATGTGCCGGCTCCTATGTCGATTCCCCATGAGAGGAGGGCTGGAGGTACTCCAGGGATCTGTTTCAACAGAGAGGGCTTCTGTGCTGAGTTTCTTGCCCTGGAGATCAGGCTCAACTCTCCAGTCTGTTTCATCATTTCCCTCTACCCTTCCAGGTGGGCAAGGTGGGAACTATTATCCAAATTCCTCATCTTTTTTACGGTGAAAAAACTTACAGCTAGAAAGGAGAGGTGACTTGCTCAAGATGCAACTAAGGAGTGCAACACTCAACCCTGCACCTGTCTGGCTTCAGGGCACACAGTCTCTGCTAGCTGCTTAAATGTTTCCTCAGAAGAATTTCCAAGGCTCCTGGGCACATCTTCAGGGACAAGAACCCTGTGCTTTATGCTGGCTATTTCATGGGATGCTCAGGCTTCAGTTTTCCAAATGTAAAAGCTGGTGCAGTGGCATACATCTCTAGTCCCAGCTACTCAGTCCTCAGGAGGAGGGGCAGGTGGATGGCTGCATCCAGGGATTCAAAGTTAAGGTCAGCCCAGGCAACACAGCAGGACCTGTCTAAAAAAAAGGGAATCATGTAATGTTCATTGCACTTTACTTTATTACAAGGTTGTTTGAATATTAAAATGTCATTTTAAATTACTCACTGCCATATAACATTGCTGCTCCAATAGGATGCTTGGCATTTAGCCTTTGGCCTTGTCTCACTCTTGACACAGCCAGGTACCACCTAGGACAGCAAACCTACTGTGGGAATGTTGGCCTCTCTCTCTCAGATCCTTAACCCATCACCTTATGCGTGACAGGTCAAGAAGGCCTGTCCTTGGAGGTGTGTGTTTGGGAGGTAAAATGCCAGCCTCAGGGGCTGCCCAGCAAGAAAACTGGCAGGAGAGGAACTCTTTCCCCAGTGATCAGGCGTGAGCTGTGCCCATAGGGGATGAAAAAGAAGCAGGAAGCAGACAAACTGCACCCCACCCCAATCCCCCGGGCAAAGCAAAGCAAAGCCTTGTCTCCACGTGTCCCCAAGAAGGGCTCAGAGGAGCTGCTCAAAGGCTTCCAGGCTCCAGACATGCTCTGCCCTCTTTCTGAGAGAATCAGAAACTACCTGCCTCTCCCTGGGAATGTGCCCCCCTGGGCAGTTCCAGGGGCTAATTCAGTGAATACTGAACCCAACAGGAAGTGCGGGTCACCTTTTTTCTCTGCCTGCTCCCTGCCAGCTCCTCTGATAGAGACGTCGCAGGCTCTCTGCAAATGCCCTAAGGCCTTTCGGTTTCCTAATAGGTGGGTGGGGGAAGCGTGGGGATCTAGTCCGGTGTAGCAGGGATTTCCTAGAGGAGATGAGGCTGAGCTGGGATCCAGAGAAACGGGTGGGCTTTCGTAGAGGAGCCCTGGTAATCTCTGGAGTCCTGATTTGGGTAGTATGGGACACCCGGCAGAGCGCGAGCAACCCGGGCGTGACCGCGCAGCGCTCAGCCTCACCAGCCTGGCTCCCTGGCTCCCTCCCACACCCCGGGCGCCTCCCGGCCCGCCAAGTCCAGATGCCCGTGTTTGTTCCAGAAAACTTTCCGCGGCGGCTCGCACTGAGCATGCTCGGCGGCGGGGCGGGCCTGGGGTCCGGAAGCCCAGCGACTCCTTGGCGCCTGCCGGTTTGGGGGCGCGGGACCCCGTCGGGCGATGGGTCCCGTGGGCGCTGGGTGGCGCGCCACGTGGGTGCTGGCCGGGGGCGTCCTGGTCGCGGCCCTGGCTCTGGGGGCCGGAGGCTGGCTCCCCGCGGGCCCCGGCCCGCTCCATCACCCCTTCGGCGAGCAGGCTCCCCGCGCGTTGCCCGCGGGGCCCCAGGTCGGGTACTGCCCAGGGACCCCCTCGGCACCCAGCAGGGCAGGGCTCGAGCGCAGAGCACAGGTGAGCAGCGCCACCCCGGGCTCGGGTGGGACCCGCGAGGCCCACGGTCAGCAGGCGGGGCGGGAGCCTTTAATATTGGGCAGAGGACTAGGAAGAGGAGAGGGGATCCGATCGCCGAGCGAGAACCCCGACGGGAGGGGGCGGCTCTGGGTTGGCGCTGAGGACTTGGCCACGACGAGCGGCCAGGTTGGAATCCCGCTCTGCTCCGCGGTCTAGGAGCTCTGTGTCCCGGAGCAAATCACTTCACTTCTCTTTCCTTGCACATTCAACCCTGCCTAATGGTGACTCCTCCAGAGGCCACTGTGCGTCAGTTAAAGCGGTGGCCAGCTCTTCTTGGGAAGGTGCAGCTTGTGACATGGGCTTCGGGGGTATTGGCTGTATTTTTACCGCACTACACTTTCGCTGGTGAGTTTGGCCATTTCCCACTTGGCCTTGACCCTGGTCTTTCTCTGTGTCCAAACTTGGAAAGGCACAGGACACCCTAGCTCCCTCCTCCTCCCCAAGCTGGTCACCAGCCTCATGCCTTCTCCCCCTGATCAGGTCCCTTGTCTGCCTCTGGCCCTTGGTGAAGATCCATCTTAGATTTCATTCCTTAATTTGTGTCCCATCCCTTCCCCCAGGCTCTAGGGGGATCTGTCCAAGGTCTGTGTCCCACCACTTCCCTCTTCCTTCCTGGCTGTCTCATGAATCCTGGCTGCAAACCCAGAGATTTCCAGGAGCGCCTTCACCAGGCGCTGGATCATTGATGCCCTTGGAGTCCTTGCACTCTCCCCCAGAGCCAGCATGCAGTCCTGGGGCTCTGTCTGATGCATGCCCCGGGGCTCCCTCATGGCTGCAGAGGTTGAGAATGCCTCTGATGCTTCTGGGTTTCACTGTTTCAGGAAGGCACTGCACTGTGTCTGTGAACTTGGAGCTGTAGGTAGCCCAAGGACAGCACATTTTCACTGGGTCCTTTCACTCGCTTCTGCCAAGGGAAATAGAAATTATCTGGCCCATTTGTGGAGGGAAACAAGGCCCAAGAAAGCATGGCCCTGGCCTCTTGCTCTTCTGTGCCTGCAGGTGTGGGGTGGGCTCCAGGGCCAGCCCTGCTCCTTTGCCCAAGCTCTGGGAAAACCTGTGCTGGAACATTGAGGTGGATGTCGGCCTCTGTCAAGAGCAGGTGCAGAGGGTGGGCCTGCTGAGAGGAGGGACAGTGCCCTCTGGGAAGTGCCTGAGGCCATGCAGGACCAGAGTGAGTCCAAGTCATCTCCTGCCCTTGAAGGAACCTGCGGGTGAGCACCTGTGTCCAGGTGCCCTCGGTGTCTCTAGCACCTGCCTCACCTGGGTCCTGGCCCTGCCCGTGCCAGTCCTTCCTGCATCACTCTGGGCCTGTCTCAGACAATCCTTCCATAAGCTGGGCAGTAAGGAACTTGTGGCTTTTGTGGGCCTTGGGTGTCCCTGCCGTGAGCACTCACCCCACTCTGTGGGGCCTGGGGCCAGGTTCCCCACAGTGGTGGAAGACTCTCTCCAGAGCACGATCCTAGTTCCTGAAGCTGTTTCTGTTGTGATTGTCTGAAACCTTCCCTCCCTCCATTCATTTTATACACACATACATGTATATATACACACATACACATGCACACATGTGTATACGCAGACATACACATGTTCATACGTATTATTACATCTTTGCTGAGGGCCATGTTGTGTGCCGGGGGCTGGGGAAGTATGTCCATAATCGCGCAGTGATTAAGTACTTTGAACAGAGTGGTGGGGAGCTATGAGGAAGGGCTAGGGAGGAGGGTCATTCAGTTAGGTGGTCAGATGAAATCGTTCAGCTAACGTTCAAAGGATGAGTGGGTTTATCTAGGGAAGGAGTAAGAGAGAACATCCTGTGTGCACAGAAGTTCATGGTGAAGCCCCAGGTGGGAGGCACTGTGACATATTCCACTGTCTTTGGACCCGTGATGCCCTGCGTCCCTTGGTTGGAACATTTGCTTCATTGTCTGGGCCCTCGCCTGTCTCCTTCCTGTGGGAGTGTCGTCTTCTGTGGTTTCTTCATCTGATGCTCACCGAGATTGCCTCTCACTCCCCAGTGGTTCTCAAAGTGGGGCCCAGGGACTGCATCTGGGGTCAGAGGAGTCAGAGCAATTTTTATAGTGATACTGAGACATTGTGTACGTTTCCCACTCATTTCCTTACCAGGGGACAGTGGACTTTTTTGAAAGTGACACAATATGTGTATAGGAGAAGATTTAACCCAGAAGCAGAGTTGAGAGTTTAGCTTCTTTCATTGATCCAGACTCAGATGAGATTTGCAGAAGCATATTTGCCATCCATACTCTTATTTTGGAGAATGTAGTTATTTTTCATAAGTTATGCTGCTTATGTAGATGTGCGATGGGATTATTATTCCTATTTAAAAGGGAATTAGTGTTTTTTTTTTTTTTTAATGAGGAGTGACCCCAGGGGTGCTCTACTACTGAGCTAAACCCTAAGCCTCCTTTATTATTGAGTTTCACTAAGTTGCCCAGGCTGGCCTCAAACTTATGATCCTCCTGTCTCAGCCTCTCAAGTTGCTGAGATTACAGGTATGTGCCCAGCTTGACACTCGAAAATATTCTAACTCTAATTTGAAATATAGTAAAAATGATTTCTCTGTGCTAAGGAAAAAAAAAGAAAATATTAATATTAATTAAATATTAATAAATAGATTCTGGTCTGGGGTTGTGGCTCAGCAGTAGAGTGCTCGCTTAGCACGTGCGAGACCCTGGGTTCCATCCTTAGCACCACATAAAAATAAAAAAATAAATATAGTCTGCACAAAGCAAAGTTCTTGGGAGCCCTCCATACTTGTGGAGGGTGTGAAGGTTCCTGAGACTAGCACGTTTGAGAAGCACTGCTGTATGCAAGCCCTACCTGACGCCCAGGGACTTAGGGAAGGACAGATGTACACTTCAGAACGAGGCCCACATCATCACTGTTTGTGCGGGTATTGTTGTGTTTTTGCTCTTCTACTTGAATATCAAACAGCGGTGATCTGGGTTAGCTGTGAGGTTAAGGCGAATGCACTGGGTGTGTCTCAGGTTGGATCAATTAATGGAAAAAGAGAAAGAAATTCCAGCCCGAAACACCAAAACAGCCAAGGCCGGCGGGCGCTGCCACATTGCTGTTACGAGGTACACTGATCTTGGCTTTCTGAGCAGCTCTCCCGGCCAGAGAAGCATCCTCAAGTACTTCTTGAGAGCTTGGTCAGGTAAAACGGGGTCTCTGGGGGCTTCTGGGCTCCCCTCCACCTGCAGGCTGCAGCACGGCAGAGCTCGGACCCCTCTGTCCTTTGTGGCCATGCACGCCTGGGGTGATCTGTCCACTGACAGCCCCAAATTCTGACCTCCAGGGGTGACTTCCAGGAAGTCCAGCACATATCCGCCTGCCAGTCTCCGTGGAGGCCCAGGGGCATGCCACAGGCCTGCGCACGTCGTGGACTGCCCCTCGCCGCCCTGCTGCTGCTGGTGCCCGGCCTTCCTGTGCTGGGCCACAGCCTCGGCACTGCCCTCGGCCTCCTCACTGGCTCCTCCCCATGTCCATCAGCCGGCAGGTCCCGAGGGTTCCATTTCAGAACGTTGGTGTGGCCTTCACTCTGCATGATGACCCTGTTGGTCCTGGCTGCTGCCCTCGGGGACCATCGGGAGCCTTCCAGCTCGTCCCCCTCCCACCCCTGCCCACCTTCTCCGTTGTCAGCAGAGCAGCCCGGCGGGTGTCCCACTGGAAACAGCCTCCTCCTGCCACCCTCACAGGGCAGCCCACCTGCCCTCCCCCGCCCCCCTAGTACTCAGCAGAGGCAAGTTCCCAGGTGGCCTGAAAGCCCCTCTATCGCCCGTTGCACTGTGACCTCACCCAGGTCTGTCTTGCCAAGTCACCCTGCTCTGGCACCCTGGCCTCTGCTGCTCCTGACCGCTCCAGGCACACACCCTCAGGAGGGGATCCCCAGCCCAAAGGCTGCTCCCCGAGAGGCCCAGCCCTCCCTCACCACGTCCCCCTCTCAGGCTGGGAGCCACTCTGTCCTTTCCCCGGTTTTCTTCCAGCACCCTGACGACTTTCTAATTTCCTCCTCTCCCCTCCCTGTCCATGGAGAGCCTGGGACGCGCAGCACATTGTTGTTTACACTCCTCCTGTTCCTGAGAGCAGGACGTCTGTGCCTTCTCCGGGGTTGACCCCATTTACTAAGCAGCACATGGTAGTGATCAAGGGCGTCGTTGTGCGTCTTTGATTCTCCCTCGCCTGCTCCAGAGGAAGTAGCGGTAACCAAGGCGTCATCTGTCTTCTTTTTTTTTTTAAAAAATTTTTTTTTTGAACAGATACAACACTTTTTAAAATCTTTATTGTATGTATTCATTTTTATGTGGTGCCGAGGACTGAACCCCGTGCCTCCCCCACGCTAGGCGAGCGCTCCACCACTGCGCCATAGTCATGGCCCCCATCTGTTCTTGACAAGAGGCTCGGTCCAGCTCCAAGCCCCATTTTTTTCTCATTTACAAGACAGCAATTTTTCTGGTTCCTTCTCAGTTTTATTGCAGATGATGGAGAGGTGACACGGTAGTGGCAGTGATGACATAGTTACAGTAGTGCAGTGAGGGAGGGCACAAGTGGTGTGGGGCATTCCCCGGGTGATTGCTGTGTGCTGGGCCACGCTAAGTGCCTTAGGTGCATTATCTGACTTAATTCTTTAGGTAGTTCTGATGAAAGGACTCATCTCCATCTTACAGACAAGGAGGCTGTGACCACAGTGGTCCAGGTGTGGGGAGGCTGTCCATCTAGACCTGTGCTCCCCTGGCACTTGCTGTTAGTGGCTGGCTCCACAGGAAAGGGAGGAGTAAACCTGGGCATCAGTGCTCAGGGTTCGTTTGGCATCTGTCCCTTCCTACCGGGCAGTTTCAGCTGTCTCCCAGATGGCCAGTGTGTCAGCCACATTTGAAGTGCAGAATGGCCCCCGCGTCTGGAGGCTGCTCCGTGGACAGTTCTGTCTTAGCACATTTCCTTGGCTGCAGAAGGCCCTGCTGGAGCTCACGGAAGGCAGAAGGCAGGGAGGGTGCTGGAGAGGAGGCCTCCCAGTCAGCCATCCCCCATCCCCTGCCCACGGCATGCCCACCAGACACTGGCCTCGGCATGCCTGCCAGGCACTGGCTCTGTCCCACAGCTTGCGTGGGAGAACGAGGCAGACCCAGGTGATGCCTGCTCTGGATTCCCAGAGTCGGAGGAGAGTAGCCAGCAGTGCACTGCTGTGTGTGGTGGGCCCCGAGGGCTGAGCAGAGTGGATGGAGAGCCATGGGGTGGTCAGGGAAGGTGCTGAGGAGGGAACAGATGCCGCAAGTGGAGTGGAATGAGGGACAGCTGGCGGGGGCTCCACATGGTGGGGCTCACGCCCTTCCAGTAGGGCTGCCCCCAGAGGGGAGCGTCCAGGGCTATGGAGGCCCACAAGGACCAGGCCTGGAACCCACAGCCACACAGGGTGGCTTGCTCTGACTACGAGACAGGACACAGGGAAGGCTCTTCAGGGGACAGAGACAGTAGCCACACAGCCCCTTCTGTGTCCAGTGTGGTCTCAGCTGGCGTGTCCCAGAGTCTTGGTCCAGAGAGTACCACAGGGGCCATGTGTAGCAGTGGAAGAGTGCTCACAGTCCTGGAGGCTGGGCGGTCCCAGGTCAAGCGCTAGCAAGTTCCATGTCCTGTGAGGGTCCAGTCTCTGCCTCCAAGATGGCGGTGTCCTCATGTGTTAGAAGGGGCAGGGCCAAAAGCTCAAGAAGAAGCCTAGCTAGTGCCCTCCACGTGTCTTAGGGGGATTCACCATGTCTGTGAGGGCAGACCCTCGTGGCCTAATTACCTCCTAAACCCCTCAGTACTGTTACCTGGGTGCCCGCTTCATCCTGAGTGTCGGAGGGACACAGCGCTCTCATCCACGGTGCACTCCTTGCCCCCGTAACCCTACGTGTGGACCTGAGAGTCCGAAGTCTCCCAGGAAGCTCCCCTACGTCAACCTGGGTGAGACACAGGCTGGGGGAGAGCAGGGAGCTGAGGCAGAGTCCCTGGCGTCGTGATCCCGGAGGTCCAGTTGGTTAGGAGCTTCTGCAGAACAGTCGTGGAGCAGCACCAAATCGACGTTCCCTCCCAAACAGGAGAAGTGGGGAGGACGACGACAGGGGTCCGACCAGACTCCACACCTGCAGGGAAACATTGACGCCCCAGGCTGGAGAATTATCTTGGACTGTGTGTCCCCTGCCTTCTGGACACAAGGGCGGGCCTTGGCACCGGAGGCCCTGGTGGGCCGGCCCCACTCTGCTGGGTGCACTCAGAGCAGCCTCCACGGGTGGGCTGGGCGCCGGTGACCCTCCAGGCTGGCCTAGGAGGTTTAGCTGTTCTGGGTCTGGGGGCGGCCCTGCACCCACAGTTCACTGCTGTTTGCTCTCATGGGGTCCCTGTGGTGTTTCACCCCACTGACCATTCTCATCCGGGCCCCAAGCCCCTCCAGGGCACCCTGTGAAGTCCAGCTGGGGACAGCCATGCCTCTGTAGCTCCTGCAGTGTCACACCCTGTACAGCTGGTGCCAGGTGGACACCGCCAAAGCCTCTGCTTGTGGCCTCCAGAGGGTGCGGGGCAGCTCCTCACTGGGATTCAGGAAACAGGCTTGAGGTGTCCTGGGCCGTGAGCGCCAAGGTCCTGTGGGCATCCTGGGCACTTCTGCCCCCGAGACCCTGGGATGCGAGAGCAGCCTGGAAGGTCTTGAGGATCCTCAGAATGCAGTCAGGGTCCCTCTTCCGTTGTCCTGATCAACAGCCTGTGGCCTCCTCAGGGCCACACGGATCTTTCTCCGGGAGCCCCCTTGGCCGCTGCCTTGGGATCCTCTCCGGAACCCTTTTCCGTCTTCAGGGCGTGGCTGCCTGAGTGTTGCCCAGATAGTAAGGCCGCTCTTCTGATTATAAATTCTCTTTCATTTGTTGTTTTCTCTCTGGTTTTGCTACAAGCAGTCAAGGTGCACCCTTGGCTCTGCTGAGGTTCCTTCTGCCAGATGCCCCTGTGCCTTTCTGCGAGCTCTGCCTTCCCCAGAGCATCACAGGACAAGATTCAGGCCCGACTTCTGCCACTTTATAACAAGGATGGCTCTTCCCGTGTCCATGTTCATCTCAGATTGCATCAGGTTGGCTTTACTGTCTGTATCCTTACCCACATTCTGGGCACCTGACTCATCGGCAGGGAGTCCCTACTTTCCCTACAGCTCTCCTCCTGCCGAACCTGGCTCACGTCCGGTGTGGGCGAGGGAATGGGCACCCACCGGAGGGATGGGCTGGCTGCAAGATAAAAGCTATGAAGGTCATGTGTCAGGATGAAAGACAAAAGGCAAGGATATTTTTAAAGCAGGAGCGTGACGGGTTGAGTGGACCAGAGGGGTCTGGCTTCTAGTAAAGAAGAAGCCCGTACTTGCTTTATTGATCGCGGTACAGATAAACGTTTCCGTGGGGGAGGAGTCTTGTTTAGGGGCTTGCTGCCCGTGTGCCAGGGGTCTTGCAGTAGACAGGTTATTTGGCATTTGGTGGGCTACGCCCATCTCTGGGAGGCTGTTTAATCCTAAGGCTGTGAGCTAAGATGGGGCCGGCTTGATCCAGGCGTCTGGGGAGTTACACCCAGGAGTTCCTGAAAGAGTGGCCTCCCTGCCTTAATGGCTTGAGCCAACCATGGTTTATACACACATGGCCCCCAACCCCCGAGTCCCCTCGAGAACGCCTGTGACAGTTTAGCCTCCCCATTACCCAGTTCCCAAGCTGCTTCCTAGTATTAGGTGTTTGCTACAGCAACAGTGCACCCCGGTACCAATTTCTGTTCATTGCCAATTACCCAGTCTCAGGTGTTTTGTTATAATAGCACGAACAAGTGAAGACACCCACTCCCGTGTGGCCATTGGAACTGGACCTGAGACCAGGCCTGAGTGTCCTGCTCAGCCCTCCTGCTCATGCATCCTCCTTAATTACACAGAAGCCAGCGGGAGTGGATGGTGGGAGCCCAAGTCCAGAGCAGCTGCTTGGGTGAGAGCCAGTCTCCACCACCGTTCCCGTGAGACCTGGAGGGAGTTCCCTAGTTACCCTGAGTCTGGGGAGATCACTTTAAAATGAGGCTGATACTCCATGGTTCTTTTGCGCTCTTGTACCGCAGGCTTGGAGAGCTAGCACTGGACCTGGCACGCTGAAGGGGCCCCATCCAGGGCAGCCCTTAGGAGCATACAAGAGAGGGCTCTGGCCTTTCCAGGGTCCAGAGTTCACAACATGGAGTGGAAGGGTCTGGTTGGGTGCAGTTTGGACACGATTTCATCAACCTGAGGCTAGGCAAGCTGGGGGGAAGCTTTGAGTCACCCCTTTTCAGAGAGGGAGCAGGCCTCAGAGAAGCTGAGACTTGGCCCAGGACACCCAGTGAGTAAAAGCTTCTAACTAGAACCCAGTTCCGACTCCCCATCCGGTGTTTCACTGCCACCCCAGCAGCTTGTGGGTTCTTGGGGATCACGATGCCTGGGGCTTGCCCAGGCCCCCGCCTGTGGAAGCAGACCTGGGATTCCAACACAGATCTGTCTGTGACATTTCATCCACATCGTGCTGTCCCCTAGACAGCTCCCAGAAGTGCAGTGTGTCTGGGCAGGTGCTTCCAGACTTGGAAGAGAGGTGCCGCTCCTCTCCAGGGAGCTGTTCAGGAAAGTGACTGTGGCCCGCTCCCTAGGAGTGTGCTCCTCAGCTCACAACTCTGGGCCTGTCGTGTGTTTTAGGGCCTGTTCTGTAGGACGTGGCTGCACGTGGAGCGCTCTCATCTGAAGATGGCAGGTGAGTTTTGCTTTGGGTGGTTTCTCATTGTTTTGACCCTGATTGGCGGCACCCAGAGCCCACCCTCATCTGTGTCACCCTGTGGGTCCTCGCGATGTCCCCCCACCTGGGCAAACAGGTTGTTCCCTGAACTCACAGAACAAAACACAGAGAGCCTGCCTGAGTGGTATTGAGGACACAGTGCTGAATCAGGGCAGGCCGGGTGGTCTGGATGCCGGGCTGTCTGGATGCCACCTGCAGGAGCCTGCTGAGGGAAACAGCATGCTGAGTGCCAGGCTCTTGGTGACCTGTGCTGCTGTGACAGCTTCAGAAGCTGCTCGTCCCTGTTAAACCACACTGTTCTCTGGAGGCCAGGAGCCACACTCCATTCCCCGGGCTGAAGTGGAGGGTGGATAGGGCCGCGCCCTGGGGGGATCTGGGCAGGGTCTGCCTCTGGTGGCACCTGCAGCCCACTCCTGGAGTTCTTCAGATGGAGGCCCTTCCCACCTCTTCAAAGCCAGCTGGGTGGCCACGTTACCCCCTCCCCTCAAGTCTCCCCTGGGCTCTTTCTTAGGACCCCTGGGTTGACATTCAGTGCCCACCTGGACGACCCAGCTCTCACCCCTTCACAGGGCCCTCAGTGTACTCCCTCTGCGCAGTCCCTGCTACCTGAGATGAGGACCCGAGTATCGTTGGGGCCAATATCCAGTCCATCACACCTCTGTCCGCGAGAGGAAACTCATCTTCCTGTAACTGAACCTGGCCCCAGGGACGAGGTCCCCATGGGACCCAGGTGCTGCCCAGCTGCTGTCCTCTGGCGGGCATCCTTCTCCGAGCGGCCTTTCCAGGCGGTGGCAGGCCTGGGATCCGAGCCCCGTGGCTGGCCTTGCAGAGTGAAGTGCTTTCCTCCACTGTCCTCGTGTAAATTCAGGGAAACCAGTGGGCTCAGTTGGTCATGTGTGTCCCAGAGCCTGTCACTGAGGCCAGGTTGGAATTCTCTGGGCTCTCTGCCTAACTGTGGCATCCTGAGACCCAGACAGGTGGGACGCAGGTGGCCCCCCGCTCCGGAGACCCAGCAGGATTCCCACTGACTAGAGAGGGCCTTCCTGAGGGGGGCTCCCGAGGACGGGAGGAGCCAGTGGGACACAAACAGGTGCCCAGAGATGAGTCCTGAGACTCATGTAGGTCCTTTATGTCCAGTATAAGATTTTACGTCCAGTGGGTGTGCGGGCGAGCCGAGGCCCTGAGCCCAAGGGGCTGGGGTCTGGAGAGAGCACTGAGCCCACTTGATTCCCCAGACCTTTCTGGCCAACTCAGCGGCCGGCCTGGGAAAGAGCCCGGTGGTTCTGTGGCCAGGGCTGTCGGGTCCCGGTGCCAGCTTCTCAGTGTGAAGAGTTGTGCAGTGGGGACCCTGATCCTCACGGCAGCTTCGCGAACCAAATCCACCAGACATTGTCCAAGGAAAAAGAGACCTTGATTTTATCTAGGGCCCATCCCACATCTTTTTTTTTTTTTCAATTTAAAAATTTTTCCCTACCTGCATTTTGGAATTCTGTAGGTTTAAAGCGCACTATTAAAGACCTTGCTGTGGACCCAGTGAGAATGGCCCAGAACGGGTGCGTCTGCAGGCTCCCTGCAGTTGTGTTTGGACAGAGATGGATGTTAAAGGAAGCACAGCTGCACAGTCTGGGTCGTCGTGAAAGTACAGATTCCTGCCAGGCGTGGTGGGCACTCCTGTAGTGCCCGCTACTTGGGAGGCTGAGGCAGGAGGATCACTTGCGTCAGCCTGGGCAGCACAGTGTGACTTGTCTCCACACTGCCTAGTCAGTCAGTCTGTCTGTCTTTCTACCTGCCCATCTAGTTAAATTTCTAACTTCAAGCATGTGACCTGTGGTGGCTCAATGGCTCCCAAGGCACCCCGCCCCATGGGGGTCTTAACCACATCCCGGGTGAGAAGGACCAAGCTCAGAGAACTCTGCTCCCCTGGCCAGAGTCCCACAGCCCACTAGCAGCCAAGCAGCACCTGCTCAGTGGGACTCCTGAACCCAGCTCGGGTGATGAAAGAGTCATTTCTGTGCACACAATGCTCATAAACTCTCAGAATATTTCAAGGTGGAGCAGATTCTCGAGGGAGTCATCCTGTGTTGGTTGGCTCAGCCAGTGCTGGTGTCCAGCCTGTGCCTGGCCTCCTGATGATGGCCACCAGAGCTTGTGCTGCAGTCGGTGGAGGCTCGGGGGGTTCCTCTGAGGCGGGAGTTACTCTGTCTTCTTGAGAGTTAACATCTTGGTCTATTTTTGCATGGCTGCAATCAAGTGCCTGAGGTTGGGTACTTGGATCAAGAAGTTTATTTGGCTCACGGTTTTGGAGGCTCAAAGTCCAAAAGGGGACAGCCCATCTGGTGGGCCTCTGATGAGGGCTTCTAGGCTACACAGCACAGCGATGTGATGGCCTGGCAGGGGTGTACCTGACAACGTTTCATAGCAAAACAGAAAGCCAGAGACCAGAGGGACTGGGCTCCCTTTATAAGGAGTGACTGGCTCTGGCAGGAGGAATCCACTCCTGGGAGACCTCACCTGCTCCTTGAGACCAGCACTGGTCCCTTCTGAGGAGGTCATGACCGGTCGCCCCTACCTCGGCCTCACCTTTTGAAGTTCCCACCACCTTTCAGTGCTGGGGGCCATGTATCTAGCACATGAGCCTTTGGGGGCAAAGCACAGTGACCAGAGCAGTTAAGGAAACAGGCACAGAGAGGCTAGGTGACTTGCCCAAGGGCTCACAGCTGAAGAGTGGCAGAGCCAGGACTGGAA